GCCAACCAGATTTTCTGGTGGAGTTTTCATTCAATAGGGTTTTCAGTAAATTTTTATTTTAAACAGAAATGTCTAAATTTTTCAAATTCATCATCTCCAGCACCACCTCAACATATGATGGCACATTTATATGTTTTGTAGTAAAAAAAGATGTGTTTCCAATAACATCCCTTTAAATACAGTGTACTGTTTAGTTTGAATTTTGTCGACAGACTCACTAGAATATTTTTTTACATTTTAGTCATTTAGCAGACGCGCTTATCCAGAGCGACTTACATTTAGTGAATGCATACGTTTTTTTGTTGTTGTTTTTTTTCATACTGGCCCCCCGTGGGAAACGAACCCACATCCCTGCCGGCCAAACCCTCCCCTACCTTGGACGACTTGCACGCCGCCCATGGGTCTCCCGGTTGCGGCCGGCTGCAACAGAGCCTGGACTCGAACCAGGATCTCTAGTGGCACAGCTAGCACTGCGATGCAGTGCCTTAGACCACTGCGCCACTCGGGAGTATATCGAGTGAACGGGTTCAGAATATTAGGGATCAGTGAAGGAAAGCCATCTACACTCAACAGAAAATATAAATGCAACATGTAAAGTGTTGGTCCCTTGTTTCATGAGCTGAAATAAAAATCCCAGAAATGTTCCATACACACACAAAATGCTTATTTCTCTAAAATGTTGTGCACAAATTTGTTTATATCCCTGTTAGTGAGCATTTCTCCTTTGCCAAGATAATCCATCTACCTGACAGGTGTGGCATATCAAGAAGCTGATTAAACAGCATGATCATTACACGGGTGCACCTTGTGCTGGGGACAATAAAAGGCCACTTTAAAATGTGCAGTTTTGTAGCACAACACAATGCCACAATGCCACAGAAGCGTGCAATTGGCATGCTGTCTGCAGGAATGTCCACCAGAGCTTTTGCCAGAGAATCGAATGTTAATTTCTCTACCATAAGCTGCCTCCGACGTCGTTTTAGAGAATTTGGCAGTACCTCCAACTGGCCTCACAACCATTTACAGAGGAAGCAAATGAAAGTAAACGAAACAATGTAATTAAATGATAATGTAGGCTGTAAAAACTGAAGGGAACTAACAGTAAATTGGCGGTTGAACATGTGTGGTTATTATGCCATTTGACGGTCGATACTGATAGTGGCTAATATTTAACTTGATAGAAATAGCAAACAGAGAAAGTCCGGGTAGCTTATAATTAAGACATGCGAGAGTGCACATCCCTGCAAGTTAAAAGACTGTACAAATTAAATTCTGCATAATGGCACAGCATTTCATAAACTTTACTTTGGGAAAGTTGATATGTTGATATGCTTCAGTTAGCTGCCATATGACTGGTTTCACATTTTTCTCCAGCGATTATAAGGTAAAATAGATCTAAAACTAGTGTCATTTATATTTACAATTCCCTTATCAAAATGGATTAGTCATTTACCTAGCTCTTATCACTAGCTCTTATCAAGTTGTAAATTACAGTGCATGGAGAATGGTGCTTTTTCTATTGGGGGAAAAAAATAAAAAATAGATGTATTTTCCAATTATTAGGGAATTAAGTCAAGGTCAGAATACGGAGTATCTGTAGACACACCTCCGCCACACCTTCATTTATTCGATCTCCACCCCAAACGAAAAGCTGGTGAATAGCATGATATTCTCATATTTAAGTTCATGATCAGAATACGCATAGAGAGAAATGGGCATAAAAAGGGAATTACATTCCATTTACACACATACTTAACTTGTGTCGGAATTCCCCCCTATGTGAATACGGACGTTGTTTTACAGTAAAGCAATGAATGAGCGTTTAACCCTCAATATCTCTACCTGCTAATGTCTTGTCCTTGGCTTCCACTCATCATCCTTCCTCCAGGTGTCTGCTGACAAGCTGGACTCCATCACTGCTTTCCCCAAGTTCTTCAACCAGGCCTCCTACACCAAGCTGACATCCTACCGCAGGGCCATCTTCCAGGCACTGGAGGTAAGGAAGGAGGGGTGGGGGAATTGACAATAAAGCCAATACAGGGCCTTGCTTTCCCTGCAGTTCCTTTATCAGTCTCTCAATACGAGGAGCTGTTAATAATCTTTGAATACAGACAGACAGATAGATAGACAGGGAGCCAAGCTTGGACAAGTCCTTACCATAAACATTCTCTTGTTCTCAGGGCCGGTCCGGGCCATTCTGCCACCCTAGGCAAGACAAAAAACGTGCTGCCCACCGCAAAACTAGAACAGTCCCAGTAAGCATCATGACGTTGAAAAGACTTCTAAAATACATATTTTCCAGACGTTGAAGTTAGCTTAAATTTCAGTTCTGAATGAAAGGTGAAAATACGTATTTTCCGGACTTTGAAATAAGGTTCATTTTCGGTTCTTAAAATTGAAAGTACATAATTTATAGATGCCTACGTTTTGGACCGTACCAAATATCAATGTCCTTGGGCGTTGAATTCAAGGCCGGACCGCACCAAATCTGAACCAAACATAGACGTCTATGATTGGTTCAGATTTGGTCCGGACCGGACCAAAAACCAACGTCTGTGGACGTGGAAATCAAGGCCGGTCTGGACTGCACCAAGAAAAGACGTCCAAAAGGCGTCGGTCCGTGCTTATTGAGGTATAGCCTACAGTGTCGCCTGAATTTTTATTTTAGGAATGCCCATCTATGTGGTAGACCTACCGTTTGTAAAACAGAAAAAAAAAGACGTCCAAAAGACGTCAGTGTCGGTCCGTGCTTACTGCGGTGTAGCCTACCATGTCCGCCTGCAAAGGAATTTTCTAATCAAATCAAATTTGATTTGTCACATACACGTGTTTAGCAGATGTTATTGCGGGTGTAGCGACATGCTTGTGCTTCTAGCTCCCGACAGTGCAGTAATATCAAACAAGTACCGTAATTTTCGGACTATAAGCCGCGCCTTTTTTCCCATTTTTCGACCCTGCGGCTTATATAACGGTGCGGCTAATCTATGGATTTTTACAGCTAACGGCCACTAGAAGACCTCCTAAATCTATGGATTTTACAGGTTACAGTCCACCAACTTTAACTCTATGGGCTCTATGACCGGTCCGCGCCCCCCACCTTTAAGCGGCGGGCTCCAGCAGGAAAAGCTGGAGGCCGGAAAAGAGTGAGACAGGTAGTGCGCAAAAGTAAAAGTGGAACCGAGAGTGGTACGAGAGACAGAACGAGAGACAGAACGAGAGCAAGACAGACAGACATTACGAGAGCGAGACAGTTTGTGCAAAGGAAGTTTTCATGCACAATCCATCTCTTTCCCGACAATCCCCTCTGTGCACGAACCCTTACATATGGTAATTAAACATTAAAACACCTGCGGCTTATAGTCCAGTGCGGCTTATATATGTACACATCATTCAATTTAGCTGCTGCGGCTTATACTCCGGTGCGCCTTATAGTGCGGAAAATATGGTAATATCTAACAATTTCACAACATATACCCTATACACACAAATCTAGTAAGGAATGGAATTTAAGAATATATACATATATGGACAAGCAATGACAGAGCGGCATGGACTAAGATACAGTAGAATATTTTATGAATGCCCATCCATGTGGTAGGCCCACCGTTTGTAAAACAGGCCGTTGCATTGCCGTTATTAGTCCTGATTCCTGTGACTAATCAATTTGGCTATTTTTATTTTTATTTTATTTTAGTCATTTTAGCAGACGCTCTTATCTAGAGCAACTTACAGTTAGTGAGTGCATACATTTTCATATTTAACTCTGAATATCAGCTACCCAACTTTATCAGGAGGAGTTATCCTGAACTTATTTGCAATGTGTTTACACAGCGGGAAATGCAGAAGTATTTTATTTTTTGGCTATGATCAGCTCGTCATAAAATGTACGGATACATACACTGATCATGACAATTTAGCCCACGGGATGAAACTCCTGGACAGCAGTTGTGAGTAGCAGATTGTCCATTCCATATTGTCAATTTTACCTGTCCTGTTTTTAGGATATGTTGTTTGTTAACATGTCAGCAATTTCTTTATCTGATTGGGCGCCATTTATGTTAGGCTATTCGATCGGAGAAACATTATGTTTCCGTCTCATTACATTGTCATACATTTTATCTCCAGCCTGTAGGCTACATGAAAGACCACATAGCCTACTCTTTCTGATACATGATTTATGTTAGATTATCTTTTTGACGGAACGTTGGTGGAGCGCTGCAACAATGCATCTCTCCAACAGTACCCTGGAGAGGCACGCTGGGAATGGACAAGATAAATATTTTGCGGCCTTTGACAAAGTGGGCACTGCTTATCACAAGGCGGCGTCAGCACTCACCTAAAAAGCCCATATGCCACTGGTTGAGAGAAAATGTCATAGTTTTTTCGCAGAATTATGTGAGGTTTTATGTGTTGTTGGAGGTGTGGTGTTTAGCTCAGAAAATGGCATCCTCTTCAATCTGCCGCCATAGGCGAACACCTAATCCTGCATAATGAGCTGGCCGGCCTTACTTGTTCTTGTCTCCTTGTCTTGTTCCTTTGTGTGTTTGTGTTTGTTTGACTCTTTTCTCTGGTTAAGATGATCTGTCCGCCTTTGTGAGATAGAGCAGAGAAAGAGGAAGACTTGTGTTTTTAGTGAGATGTCTGTCTGTCTCTCTGTCTGCTTGTCTGTCTGCGAGCACAAGCCCCTTCTTTTAGTAGCCTAGTTCAGTCTGTTGTCTCTGTCTACCTGTCTGTTTGGTCTCTCTTGTGCGCTTGACTGTCTGTGTAGAGTACCTGCCTGTCTGATCGTTTGTTTGTTTAGCAAGGCTGACAATCATCTCTTCTCATTTCCCCTTTTCTCTCTGCCCCTCCTCTTCCCCCCTCTCTATTCTCCCTTTCTCTCTCCCTCCCATCTCGTATTATCTTCCCCCTAACCTCCTCCCTCTCCTTCTACCTCCCCTCCCTCTCTCCTTCCTCCCCTCTTTCCCTGACCGCATCTCTCCCCCCCCTCCCTCTCTCAGATGGCCAGTCTGCGTGCTGAGAAGACGTTCCCTCAGTGTGAGTCAGAGGGGCCAGAGGACCAGGTCCAGCCCATGCTGGACTGGGCCAACGGGGGCTTCCTTCCTAAGGGCCAAGAGGGCCTCAAACCCACAGACAACCCTGGTGAGACTCACCAACCAAAGCCAATATAAGGTCTAAATGTCATGGCTGGGGTTTTCTCCTGCCTCCTCCTGTCCTGTCTTGTCCAATATGGGCACGTTAAAGGGATAGTTAACTTTTTTGAGAAAAAAAAAGGTTAAAACTTCTAAAAAGCGAAGTATCCCTTTAATCAATATTTCAGTTTTCAGATCTGTAGTCCAATATATCACTGTTATAGCACCCAACTTAAAGGTGCAATATATATAAATTGCTCCGCCATTTTATTGCTAAAATTCTAGTAGTTTGCGTAATTTCAGTTTAAACTGCAGTTTAAAACGCTGTGAGATATATTTTCAATAACCAAAAATATTGTATTTTCAGCTGTTTGAAGCTGGTGTACAAAATCGAAAGTAAAAGACGCAAAAACAACATTTAAGAACGGGAACATAGAAATAGTGCATATATAAAATATCTACCGCTTCTTAGACTTGCTTTTGATGAGAGTGAAACATCCATAACTCATATTTCTATGTGAATTTGGTCGGGTCACCCAAAAACATAATGCCCCTAGCTAGAGCTGAGACTATAGTTGCTGACAGATTTAAGAGTTACACCATTACTTTCTCTAGATCAATATGACACATGTTTAATTAAATACTTTTATTAGAAGACTTACGTAATTTATTCCTGTCTCTACTTGGCATCCTAATCTGCCTCTCCTTCTCTAAAGGGTACATCTCTTTCTCTCTCTCTGATGGCTCTCCCATTCTTAGATACTCTCTCGCTCGCTCTCTCGCTCAGCCTCTGTCTGCACCACATGATCTGTTAACTGTATGTTGGCACATTGGTATTTTATTAGAGAGGAGGGGTGGTTATAGCCTGGGTACCAGTTCCTTTAGCTAATCCACTTCCTGTACTCTGGTTTCCACTAGTTACCACAGCCACAAAGTCAAAATGGCATATATTTCATAAAAATGTATGAAAACAAAAATGTGCTTTTTGGTCTTCATTTAAGGTTAGGGTTAGGCATAAGGTTAGCAGTGTGGTTAAGGTTAGGGTTGAGGTTGAGGTTAGGATTAGGTTTAAAACAGTGGAGGCTGCTGAGGGGAGGACAGCTCAGAATAATGGCTGGAACGGACAAAATTGAATGGCATCAAACACATGAAAACCATGTGTATTTGATATCATTCCACTGATTCTGCTCCAGCCATTACCACTAGCCCGTTCTCCCCAATTAAGGTGCCACGAACCTGCTGTGTTTTAAAATCAGATTTTAAGAAGATAAATGTTAGAAATAGGTGGGGTTTATGACTTTGTGGCGGTGGTAGCTAGTGATGACCAAAGTTGCTAGCTCACATCTAAATTCTCAAACTAAATATGTAAATACATACTGCAATTCCAACCACAACAACTTCCCTAGCTAACAGCTAAATGTTTGTTTTTGACTTTGTTATAAATTCTAATTATATTTCCAAAGCTGGATAATATTAATGTTATTTCCAACAACCAGTGAGCAACTCCGCCGTAAATCCAGCGCATATTGAACGTTGAGATTGCCGAAAGGCCAGTCTCTTTGGCGATGACAAGGAGTGGCAAGGAGTGGAATGTTAGCTAAACAGACTGGTACTCACACTAGGGTGGTTAAGGGTGGTCTCCTGTTTAGTATGTTTCATTATGTCATCCACCATACTCTATAGGTTAGGGTTCAATGGGTTGGTCGGGTTTAATGGACCAATATTACTTGGCCAATAATACAGTGATATCAACTGGAATACAGTAATATTACATATATTTTAGACAATTTTTTTTTGCAATAACCTAGAGTATTGTAGGTACAGTATATTTTATTCTACATGCTTTGACGGTTGTCTGTGTGGGTGTGTCTTCTCCAGATAGCAACACGTTGAACCACCAGGTTTTGGACGTCAGTCTGCCAGAGTATTTCCCGACAGCCAAGAGGCCCCGCATCAGCCTGTGTAAGGCCAAATGCGGCCCAGAGGAGGTCTACAGTCGAGGTCAGAGGTCAAACAAACAGGGTTCAACCTGGGGTTACCAGGGTTGTAGTTATTAGGTACCAAACGGAAGAAAACAGAAACAGGGAGGGACTACTTGGATTTGTCCTATAAGAAACACTAATTTCCCATTTCTGGGAAACATGTTTTCAAACATTTTATGCCCTAATGAATACGATCCTGGAGTCGTCTGTCTCAAACATATGTAGCTAATTAACATACATATGTTATTTATTGCTATGCCGTGTTATTATTCATGTGACTCAAGACCTGTCTTTGATTATTGACCTGGATGTGTGTCTCTCTCTCCTCTGCCCTTCAGAACAAATGGTGCATGAAGTTTTGCAGAATAACAGAAGTATAGAAGGTATGTTCTCATTTTAATTTAAGATATTTTCTCTCCAATTGACACAGAAAGTATTCATACCCCTTGACTTATTCCACATTTTGTTGTATTACAGCCTGAATTCAAAATTGATTAAATTGATTTTATTTTCTGACCCATCTACCAATAGGTGCCCTTCTTTGCGAAGCATAGGATACCTCACTGGTCTTTGTGGTTGAATCTGTGTTTTAAATTCACTGCTCCACTGAGGGACCTTACATATATTTGTATGTGTGGGGTACAGAGATGAGGTAGTCATTTAAAAATCATGTTAAACACTTTTATTCCACAGAGAATGAGTCCATGCAACTTATTAAGCAAATGTTTACTCCTGAACTTATTTAGGCTTGCCAAAACAAAGGGGTTGAATACTTATTAACTCAAGACATTTCAGCTTTTCATTTTGTATTAATTCGTTTTTTTAAAATCGAAAAACATAATTCCACTTTGACATTATGGAGTATTGTGTGTAGGCCAGTGACCAAAGAAAATCTCAATCCATTTTAAATTCAGGCTGTAACACAACAAAATGTGGAAAAAGTCAAGGGTTTGAATACTTTCTGAAGCAACTGTAGCTATTGAACATGAACTGCGAAGAGTGTTTTCATCGAAAGTCGTCATCTATCTCATATTTGTTTCGTGCAGACTTTTGCCTCTCTTGCGGGAAGACAAGAGTGGCAACCTTCCACCCACTTTTTGAAGGAGGCCTTTGCCAAGCATGCAAGGTTAGTGCACTTATAATAATAAATAATAATATGCCATTTAGCAGACGCTTTTATCCAAAGCTACTTACAGTCATGCGTGCATATGTTTTTTTTGTGTATGGGTGGTCCCGGGGATCGAACCCACTACCTTGGCGTTACAAGCGCCGTGCTCTACCAGCTGAGCTACAGAGGACCACACTTATCTAATGCCCTCTAAGTCAGAATTGGCACACTGACAAGAAATACACCTATATTATATTTATACTGTCATCAATCTCACACAACCATCTTTACCAACCACCACTGAGTCTAGATCCCACATTGTACTTAGAGTAGAAAAATAATCATTGAAAGAGTCAGGACACCCTGAGGTGAATGACACCTACACTACCATTCAAAAATTTGGGGTCACTTAGAAATGTCCTTGTCATCGAAAGAAAAGCAATTTTTCTGTCCATTAAAATAACATGAAATTGATCAGAAATACAGTGTAGACATTGTTAATGTTGTAAATAGCTATTGTAGCTGGAAACGGCTGATTTTCTATGGAATATCTACATAGGCGTACAGAGGCCCATTATCAGCAACCATCAGTCCTGTGTTCCAATGGCACGTTGTGTTTGCTAATCCAAGTTTATCCTTTTAAAAGGCTAATTGATCATTAGAAAACACTTTTGCAATTATGTTAGCACAGCTGAAAACTGTTGTGCTGATTAAAGAAGCAATAAAACTGGCCTTCTTGAGACTAGTTGAGTATCTGAAGCATCAGCAATTGTGGGTTCGATTACAGGCTCAAAATGGCCAGAAACAAATAACTTTCTTCTGAAACTCGTCAGTCTATTCTTGTTCTGAGAAATAAAGGCTATTCCATGCGAGAAATTGCCAAGAAACTGAAGATCTCGTACAACGCTGTGTACTACTCCCTTCACAGAACAGCGCAAACTGGCTCTAACAATAGAAAGAGGAGTGGGAGGCCCCGGTGTACAACTGAGCAAGAGGAGTTTGAGAAACAGGCGCCTCACAGGTCCTCAACTGGCAGCTTCATTAAATAGTACCCGCAAAACACCAGTCTCAACGTCAACAGTGAAGAGGCGACTCCGGGATGCTGACCTTCTAGGCAGAGTTGCAAAGAAAAAGCCATATCTCTGACTGGCCAATTAAAATAAAAGATTAAGATGGGCAAAAGAACACAGACACTGGACAGAGGAAGATTGGAAAAAAGTGTTATGGACAGACAAATCGAAGTTTGAGGTGTTTGGATCACAAAGAAGAACATTTGTGAGACGCAGACCAAATGAAAAGATGTTGGATGAGTGCTTGATGTCATCTGTCAAGCATGGTGGAGGCAATGTGATGGTCTGGGGGTGCTTTGGTGGTGGTAAAGTGGGAGATCTGTACAGGGTAAAAGGGATCTTGAAGAAGGAAGGCTATCACTCCATTTTGCAACGCCATGCCAAACCCTGTGGACGCCGCTTGATTGGAGCCAATTTCCTCCTACAACAGGACAATGACCCAAAGCACAGCTCCAAACTATGCAATAACTATTTAGGGAAGAAGCAGTCAGCTGGTATTCTGTCTATAATGGAGTGGCCAGCACAGTCACCGGATCTCAACCCTATTGAGCTGTTGTGGGAGCAGCTTGACCATATGGTACGTAAGAAGTACCCATCAAGCCAATCCAACTTGTGGGAGGTGCTTCAGGAAGCATGGGGTGAAATCTCTTCAGATTACCTCAACAAATTGACAACTAGAATGCCAAAGGTCTGCAAGGCTGTAATTGCTGCAAATGGAGGATTCTTTGACGAAAGCAAAGTTTGAAGGACACAATTATTATTTCAATTAAAAATTATTATTTCTAACCTTTTCAATGACTACATTTCCTATTCATTTTGCTATATTTCCTATTCTAACTCATTTCATGTATGTTTTCATGGAAAACCAGGACATTTCTAAGTGACCCCAAACTTTTGAACGGTAGTGTATGCTGAGCACTTGTTGGCTGCTTTTCCTTCACTCTGCAGTCCGACTCATCCCAAACCATCTCAATTGGGTTGAGGTCGGGGGATTGTGGAGGCCAGGTCATCTGATGCAGCACTCCATCACTCTCCTTCTTGGTAAAATAGCCCTTACACAGCCTGGAGGTGTGTTGGGTCATTGTCCTGTTGAAAAACAAATGATAGTCCCACTAAGCCCAAACCAGATGGGATGGCGTATCGCTGCAGAATGCTGTGGTAGCCATGCAGGTTAAGTGTGCCTTGAATTCTAAATAAATCACAGACAGTGTCACCAGCAAAGCACCCCCACCCACACCATAACACCTCCTCCTCCATGCTTCACGGTGGGAACCACACACGTGGAGATCATCCGTTCACCCAAACCGCATCTCGCAAAGACACAGTGGTTGGAACCAAAAATCTCAAATTTGGACTACAGACCAAAGGACACATTTCCACCGATCTAATGTCCATTGCTCGTGTTTCTTGGCCCAAGCAAGCCTCTCTTTCCTATTGGTGTTCTTTAGTAGTCGTTTCTTTGCAGCAATTCGACCATGAATGCCTGATTCACAGTCTCCTCTGAACAGTTGATGTTGAGATGTGTCTGTTACTTGAACTCTGTGAAGCATTTATTTGGGCCGCAAATTCTGAGGCTGGTAACTCTAATTAACTTATCTTCTGCAGAAGAGGTAACTCTTCAAATCAAATCAAATCAAATGTTATTCGCTACATACGCCGAATACAACAGGTGTAGACCTTACAGTGAAATGCTTACTTACAAGCCCTTAACCAACAATGCAGTTTCAAGAAAAAATATGTGTTAAGTAAAAAATAGATAAGTAAAAAATAAAACAAGCAAATAATTAAAGAGCAGCAGTAAAATAAAATAAAATGACAGTAGGGAGGCTATATACAGGGGGTACCGGTACAGAGTCAATGTGCCGGTTAGAAGGACAATGTGCCGGTTAGAAGGACACTCTGTGGCGGTCCTCATGAGAGCCAGTTTCATCATAGCGCTTGATGGTTTTTGCGACTGCACTTGAAGAAACTTTCAAAGTTCTTGACATTTTCCGTATTGACTGACCTTCATGTCTTAAAGTAATGATGGACTGTCGTTTCTCTTTGCTTATTTGATCTGTTCATGCCATAATATGACTTGGTCTTTTACCAAATAGGGCTATCTTCTGTATACACCCCCTACCTTGTCCCCCCTACACAACTGATTGGCTCAAATGCATTAAGAAGGAAATAAATTCCACAAATTAACTTTTAAGAAGGCACACCTGTTGATTGAAAGGCATTCAAGGTGACTACCTCGTGAAGCTGGTTGAGAGAATGCCAAGAGTGTGCAAAGCTGTCATCAAGGCAAAGGGTGGCTATTTGAAGAATCTCAAATCTATTACAAATCTATCCAGGCAGGCCGCGACCGGGAGACCCATGGGGTGGCGCACAATTGGCCCAGCGTTGTCCAGGGTAGGGGAGGGAATGGCCGGCAGGGATGTAGCTCAGTTGGTAGAGCATGGCGTTTGCAACGCCAGGGATGTGGGTTCGATTCCCACGGGGGGCCAGTATGAAAAAAATTAATAATAATAATGTATGTACTCACGCTCTGGATAAGAGCGTGTGCTAAATGACTAAAATGTAAATGTATTTTGATTTGCTTAACACTATTTTGGTTACTACATGATTCCATATGTGTTATTTCATAGTTTTGATGTCTTCACTATTATTCAACAATGTAAAAAATAGTAAAAATAAAGAAAAACCCTTGAATGAGTAGGTGTGTCCAAACCTTTGACTGGTAGTTTATATATACAAGATTTGCCAAATGGAAGGCGAGGGAAAGCTTTGTATGTGTCTCTGTGTGGAGTAAAGGTGGTCTAGAGCTTTGTATGTGTCTCTGTGTGTGGAGTAAAGGTGATCTAGAGTTTTTTCCCTCTAGTTGTAGAGGTGACATGCTGGTA